CGTATCCACAAGGATGGTCTCCCAAGCTTTAAGGTTTGTTCGACCATCTTACGTCACGTTTCGGCTGCAGAGGCACGACAGGTTTCTCCTTGACCAGCAACGCACATAATCTAGCCTTCAATGGACCCATGCCTCCAACTTCAAGGGGGGTTGGCAAGCGCGGAGGTCTTCCACATAGAAACCACCTTCTCCGTAGGCTGCTTGTTCCAGCTGGTCTTCGGCCGTGCCATTCGCCGCCTCGCTGTACAACTTGAGACGGCAGACATGGTGCACAGATTCGTTGAAAGGGGGCACCAGCTGTTCGACCGCCATCACATAATCGGTGATAACTCGCGTGATTCTTGAGGGACCACGCCACGTCATGGCTAACTTGCTCGGGTGCCGTACGACCGACCCGACTAGGACGTAATCTCCAACGTCAAAGTTAGTCCACTTGACGCCTTGTTTCTTTGCGTGTCTAGCTCTCGCCTGGCCACACAGCTTCTCGCTACGGGCTAACACATCACGGTGCATCTCGTCTAGCGACGTTCGCAGGTCTTGAACTTGCTTGATCCGGGACTTGTCGAGCCAATCAACATCCCGGACTTCCTTGGTCGTCGGGAGGACGGTACCGGACAACGGTTGGGTTGCGTCGAATCCACCAAACGCCGTAACAGGAGCAAGGCCACCAAGCCGATTCGATGGCTGGTGGTTGAGGGCACCTTGGACCAGGGGTAGCACCATTGGCCACTGCGTAGCTGGGAGACGCCACTCACTCAGCAAGGTGAACCAGTCCATGAGGGCGGCGGCCATCGCAGTCGAGTCTGCATTCCGGGACGGGAACAACCGGACGAAGCCGCTTATGTCATCCTTGACTACGAGCACGTGCTTCAAGCCTTCGACTTGGGCAAGGTCAACCAGTCAAAAGGGTGAGCTTGTAGGGACGCTCGGCGTGCAGGGCTGAACCCAAGGGACGGGGCACCATGTCACCATCCACACACATGCAATGTAGGCACGAAGCCGGCCACGTCGGCCTTGAGATTGGTCCATGCGAACTTCGTCGCGACGGCCTGTGTAGTCGCCGCCACGCGACGGTGACCAGCAGCACCTTGGTGGGCGATCACGCAGAGCCGCTGTTGGAGGTCCAGGTCGTCGTCCGGGACCCAAATCTTGTCTCCCGGAGTGACGTAAAATTTGATGTCGTCATCCCAAGTAACTCCAGGTGGAGGCTGGCCGTCGTCCTGGAGGCCATTCTTCTGGGACTTGAGGACAGATTGAGCTGTCGGCCACTCGAAATCCTTGTGGCGTAGGGGTGATACTAAGGCTGCGAGAAGTCGCACGCGAGCCACCGCTGGCGTCGCACCCCACACGTTGTCTTCACCCGACACCGACTCAATGGTGTACGGGAAGGTGGACATCACCAGCGCCCAGCACTGCAGCTTGTCGGTTTGATACTTCGCCATGATGGGACTTTGGCCACGCGGGTAGAAAATGTAAACCAAGTTGCTGTGGTCCGTGAACAGACGGAATCCACCAGATCGGATCCACAGATAGTCGAGGCGTGCAAGCGCCTCGACCACGGCGAACACCTCCTTCTCCACAATAGGCCAGCGCGAACTGGCCGAGACAAACGAGCCGTTTAGAAACGCTAGGGGCTCGTGGCGTTGCTCACACAGGGGCAGCTATAAGTCCTCGGGTGGAACTTGGGTTGCAATCGCGCCCCAGAATCCGTCGCTCGCGTCGTAAAAGACACACGGCCATGTCTTCTCGGGGGGGACTCAGCGGTACGATGCTGGTCAGGGCCTTTTTCACAGCCTCAAAGCACATCGTGTGCTCGGCAGCCCACCCCATGGCGCTGACCAGTATCTTGGCCAAGACCGATTTCTCGCGCTCCGGGACAGTTTCGTGCCCACGTCCAGGAGTCGACGCAAAGGATCGACGAGCTGGCTGTACTCGGGGAATCTCGATCGCATCCAATTGGTGGCACAGATGAACTGCTGGAGGTCTGCGGCGGTAGTTGGTAGCACCAATTCGCACAACCCTCGAACTCGAGCTGGGGAGTGGGTCACGCCGGCAGACAAGATAACTGTGCCACACCATTCAGCATCACGGAGGAAGAACGAGCATTTCTACGGATGCAGCTTCAACCCGAAGGACTCGCAAATCTCCAGGACTTGCTCCTACAGGTCAAACAGTCCCGTCGGAGTGGTCGCCGCGCCCAGCAGATCGTCCAGCCAGGCGAGTAAGCCGCGAAATAGGAGCTCACCGAACATTTGGTGGCCGTCCGATTGACAAAACGCAATG